GGAGTTGTCCGTCTTACGACGTCCAACCCTGATATAGGTGGGCAGCCCGCTTGCTATCTACAAACACGTACGCTACACAGCCTGGTTACTAAGTTAACCACTAAAGGACGACCGCCCCCCCAACCAAGACCCTTTGGGCTCAAACGCCGAAACTCCCCAGAGGGCAACCCACCTCGCGAAAACGGTGCATCGGGATAAGGGGAGGAAACCATCGAGGTTCCGCTACGCCCCAAAGTCATCGATCGCTGTTCGGAGGCCATGCAGCGCAAATGAGATAAGAAGGGCACCACCCGGGAGGTGGCATGGTGTCTTAAGGCCGACCAGCCAGAGAAGCGCCTGCCCGAAACCAGACGCAGAGAATTAGCGGCGCCGCAACCCGCTACAATAGCGGCCGCAAGCGCAAAGAAATAGCGGCGGGCGCAGGTCTTCGAACCCTAGAGCTCGGTGGTGTCAATTCACCATAAATCCCCCTAAAGGAGGAACAACCCCGCCCACAACGATTATCCGACACCCGAGGGGTCTCGGTTGAAGCCAAACATGGTAGGGTTGTGCTTCATAAACGATGCAATATCCCCGAGAAAGCGGGGATAGTGTACAGAATATCTATCGCGACAGCGAAAGAGGATATGCTGGCGGGACTGCAAAGCAGCCCCGCAAGTGCAGCCGTGAGGCTCGTTGATCTTGAAGCGACGGTAATACGCTCCAATGGGCGCGTGGCCAGTAATACACCGGCAGACGCGGGCGAACTCAGTAATACTGTGTCCGAATGTTGAGAGCCAAGGTCCCCCATTGAGGTACGATGGCTGTAGCGGCCGCCCGTCAGGCTGTTGAAGCTCTAGAAATTCAGAGCCTCGGTAGGTTGGATCTTGGAAAGTGGAGCTCCACGAATCCAAGACTGAGTGCGCCGCTCGAGACCGTAGCGCGTCTATGGAGTTGTCCGTCTTACGACGTCCAACCCTGACTTTAAGCTCTGTGACGTACTTGTGTGCCTCACCATGGATGTCCCACCGCAGAGCAGAAGGGACGTACACGAAGGTTACGCGACGGAGATCGTCCGCCTCAAACCACTCTTTAAGAACGCGACAAACTGACAGGCTGAAAGCCTGACCAGAATGCACGCCGGGGTCGACCGCTCTATGGGCTGAGCCCATAGAGTCAGTAAAGACCATAATATGTTGGCAGTTTGCCTGCTTGACAGCAAGGCGCACTGCGCACGAGATGGCATTGAGTTCCGCATCTGGGGCAGTAACTCTGCCAGAGACATAGCGGGTCCTCTCGAGCTCGCGATGTCCCTTGTAGATTATAGCAGCCGAAGCCGCCTGATACTGGTTGGACTGAGGGACAGAGCCATCAGTTGCAGCCAGTACTGTTAGTGGGTCAGCTCTTGCTTTCGCAATGAGCTCGTCTAGATATGGGCGCCTATCCTGGGTCGGATCGCGCTCGTCAAAGTGGAGACGGTCCACATAGCGGTCCAGTAACCGATCGCCTGGACGAGCTTCGGGCGCAAAGGGCTCGAAACTCTCAGTTAAGGTGTGAACGCGCTCATCCACTTCCATGACAGTGCTCTTGACTTTCCCTCGCATGGCTGGGGTCATCAAGGCGGCAGAGCGAGCATGTGGTGCGGCTCGCTTAAGTAGGCCCTCGCCCATCATAGAGTGAAGAGGGTGGGTGTCCGAGAGGGTGGCAACACGATACACTGCACGCGTTGCCAACTTCTTCAGCATAAGGTGGATGGGGATGAGACCCACTAGAGCCTCAAGACCGCCAGTGGGGGAGGTGCGAAAAGCACCCGTGATCCATAGAGCAGCTTTTTGCTGCATCCGTTTCAACTGGTTCATCGCGCCCTTGTTGCGAGCGCCATTAAAATACCAGAGACAATAGCCGTATGTGGCAATGGGGACCACACACGACCGATATAAGAGGCGGCGCTGTTTAGGCGAGAGACCTCTAGTAGAGTTCCCGAGCATGCGCATGGCCTGCACGGTGGTAAACGCCTTGGTGGCGTAGTAGCGAACGTGCTCATGAAAGGTGAGCCCGCGGTCAAAGTAGAAGCCCAAGTACCTCCAATAGGTCTTGGGCTTCAAAGGTGTAACACCGGTGTGAGGGGCGTACCCCAGATCCAGCGAGGGATTGTAGGCGTCTCGTCGACGCGAAAAGTGGAACAACTCGGTCTTGTGGTGTTCAAGAACGAGCGCGAAGGCGACACAAAGAAGGTAGATAATCTTGTAGGCCTCACGCAGGCCCACATTATTATCATCAAGCTGTTTGGATTGGGCCAAGATGGTCCCATCATCCACAAAGGACAGCAGCATCATGTTGAGCGGCACCGCTTTGATGTAAAAGAGCTTCATTACCGGAGCAATGAACAGCCCAGAGATGACAGGCGAGAGAGCTGAGCCCTGCCCGACACCCACGTCCGCAGACCGTGAGTCGGATTGAAAGGTGTTCCAACAGTAAACTGTGGAGCGGCCTACAAGGTAAGAGGCAAAGAATTCCACCAAAACAGGCGAAAACCCTTGCTTGCAAAGAACAGCCATGAACATCTCATGGTTAATAGAAGGGAAGAACTGCGCGATGTCAAAAGCCAGCGCGCTAGTCTGGAGACCCTTAACCCACCCTGCTCGCACGAGATGGGTCAGAATCAATCCAGCATCCTCAGTTGACCTCTGGCGGATACCGCCAAGTTGGTTGGGATGGAAGATATCATGCTTGACGGCGTCAAACTGTATCCTATTGGCAATCATCTTTTCGATAAGTTTACCGAAAGTGATGAGGAGTACGAGTGGCCTGAAGGCCTTCAGCACAGCATAGGAGGGCTTATGCGGCTTTGGGACGATAACCGATAGCGACTCCTTGAATATACGCGGCCAGTGGCCCACCCGAAGGCACGCGTTGGCTAGCACGATGAAGAGCGCAAGGACGTGTTTATCCTTGAGCAACTCCTTTAGGTGGACCCATGTAACATGGTCCAGTCCTGGTGCAGAGGAGTCAGAGCACCCCTTTAGAGCACTCAACAACTCATACTCCGAGAAGTCAGCCCACTCATGGACCGGCTCGTCGGGAAGCTCATCTAAGACTGAGGCGTCGTACTCGCAACCAGAGGCCGAGTTGTACGTGCCGTGAAGGGTGTCCCACAGGTTGTCCATATCATGACAAGGCTGGTCGCCATTGCGAATAGCCTCACAGGCTGGTAGCTTGCGCTGTTTGACCCATTCCATTAGGTCCCACGGGCACTTGCAAGAAGTAGCAATCTCCGCGATACGTTCATCAAAGAAATCACGTTTGGCGACCTTACACGCCTTCTTAAACTTGTTGTAATCAGTGAGCGAGCGGCTCAACTGGTATACTCCGAATGTTTCCGAGCACTCGTCTGTCCACCAGGACTTGGAGCGCTTGGTAGGTTTGGACTCGGTCGAATGGGCAAGCCAGGCGTCCGAGAACGCTGTCGCAATAGCATCAGCTAAAGCTTCAACGCCTTCCTTGGTTGCCGGGGCTGCGACAGGAATAGCTGCAAGATCCCGGAGAATGTCCGAAATGAAAGACTTCTCAGCCTCGCTTCTGGGTTTAATTGTCCGTCGCCCAGATCCAGGCAGTTCGGGACCGATATCAAGATCTGCACAGATCAGGACATGATCTGATGGACCCTGGAGATCGTGCTCCAATCTGGGCATCGAGATTAGAATCTCAGATGGAGCCAAGAATACAAGATCCAACACGTTGGATCTCTGGTTTGGATTAGGACTGATCCTCGTCGGTCCATGGTTGGAAGGTCGTGCCCACTCGAGGCCGATCTGAGATGCAGTATCCTGCAATGATATTGCTGTCGATGACTTGCCATGCTCATAGTCATCCCACGTTGTCGACACGCAGTTGAAATCACCGGCCATATAGATGAAAGGTGGTAAAGAATGCACTGGAGCAGCAAGGTGCTCAATGCCTTTTTTTTTTTTTTTTTTTTGATCAACAATTTATATAGCGGTGCTCGATGGCAGCCCGCTCGCTATCTACAAACATGTACACTACACGGCCTGGGTACTAAGTAAACCACTGAAGGACGTCCGCCCCCCCAACCACGAGCCTTATGGCTCAAACGCCTAAACTCCCATAAAGCCAGACCCACCTCGCGAAAACGGTGACGCGGGATAAGGGGAAGAGACCATCGAGGCCCCGCTAAACCCCATAATCATCGAACACTGTTCGGAGGCCATGCAGCGCAAATGAAATAAGAGAGCACCACCCGGGAGGTGGCGGAGTGTCTTGAGGCCGACAAGCCAGAAGTGCGCCTGCCCGAAACCAGACACAGAGAGTTAGTGGCGCCGCCATCCGCTACAATAGCAGCCGCAAGCGCGAAGAAATAGCGGTAGGCGCAGGTCTTTGAACCCTAGGGCTCGGTGGTGTCAATTCACCATAAATCCCCCAAAAGGAGGAACAACCCCGCCCACAACGATTGTCCAACACCTGACGGGTCCCGGTTGAAGCCAAACACTGTGGGGTTGTACTTCATAAAAGCTGCAATGTCCCCAAGAAAGCGGGGGTAATGCACAGAGTAGCGATCGCGACAGCGAAAGAGAATATGCTGGCAAGACTGCAAAGCAGCACTGCAAGTGCAGCCATGAGGCTCATTGATCTTGAAGCAACGGTAATACGCTCCAATGGGCGTGTGGCCAGTTATACACCGGCAAACGCGGGCGAACTCAGTGATACTGTGTCCAAATGTTGAAAGCCAAGGTCCCCCATTGAGGTACGATGGCTGTAGCAGCTGCCCGTCAGGCTGTTGAAGCTCTAAGAATTCAGAGCCTCGGTAAGTTGGATCCTGGAAAGTGGAATTCCATGAATCCAGGACTGAGTGCGCAGCTTGAGAGCGAAGCGCGTCTATGGAGTTGTCCGTCTTGTGACGTCCAACCCTGGCTTTAAGTTCGGTGACATATTTATGTGCCTCACCATGGATATCCCACCGCAAAGCAGATGGGACGTAGACAAAGGTGATGCGGTGGAAATCATCCACCTCAAACCACTCTTGAAGAGCGCGACAAACTGACAGGCTAAAAGCCTGACCAGAATGCACACCGGGGTCAACCGCTCTATGGGCTCTGCCCATAGAGTCAGTAAAGACCATAATATGCTGGCAGTTTGCCTGCTTGACAGCAAGGCGTACTGCACACGAGATGGCATTGAGTTCCGCATCTGGGGCGGTAACTCTGCCAGAGACATAGCGAGTCCTCTTGAGCTCGCGATGTCCCTTGTAGATTATAGCAGCCAAAGCCGCCTGATACTGGTTAGACTGAGGGACAGAGCCATCAGTTGCAGCCAGTACTGTTAGTGGGTCGGCCCTCGCTTTCGCGATGAGCTCGTCTAGATATGGGCGCCTATCCTGAGTAGGATCACGCTCGTCAAAGTGGAGACGGTCCGCATAGTGGTCCAGTAACTGATCGCCTGGGCGAGCTTCAGGCGCAAAGGGCTCAAAGCTCTCAGTTAAGGTGTGGACACATTCGTCCACCTCCATGACAGTGCTCTTGACTTTCCCTTGCATAGCTACGAACTTCTAGCATTCAAAGATCACGCTAGCTCATTCAATTTATGACTCTTCAGAAGGACAAGCGTGCTCGTGCAAAGGCGAACGCACACGAAGCTGGTGAGGAGACATCAAACGCGAGATCTAAATTAAAGGTATGTGCTTCAGTGCCCTAGACCTGAAATCAAAGTAACTCCTTGCTTGTTTCTTATTTCTCAGGGGAGAACCCCCAAGGTGTTCAATGCCAATGATTCCGGCCATGAGTCAGATGGAAATTCTGCCCTTCGAAGAGTTGAAGAAGCTGAACAGTCTCAGAAGAACACTGGCCACCGCGGTCCTCAAAATCAGAGTATGATTCACTATCATGACCCTGTTCCAACGAAAGACAAGTCCACAGGGAAACTACGATGGTTGTTCAGCTGTAAATTTTGCAATAGGTGCGTTAACATTCATTGTGGGATCCGAGCTTTTGAGTCTTGACTTATAGTCATGTTCGAAGCGTCCGGACTGTTGATCGTACAGTGAAAGGGAAAGACCCGAAATGGGAGGATGAGCCCAAGCTGCCAAAGATGAACAATCTTGTGAGCCACCTCAAAGAATGCAAAGTCAAAAACTCACCGGAAGATAGCATTGACAGCGGTGATGAGGGCACCTCCATAAATTCCAAGTTTAACCTCAAGAGAAGTGCGGATATGATAGGAGAGTACATAAAGGAGGGTGAGAAGAATCCGCAGGTTATTCTGACACAGAAGGGGTTCTTACATCTTTTTTCGGCCTGGATCCTTGATGAAAGTCTTCCTTGGACGACCGGAGAATCTCCAAGCCTTGCTGCCCTGTTTAAGTATCTGAAGATCACATTCAACCTTCCATCCGACACAACAGTACACAATCAGCTTGCTCACATCTTTCATGATTTGCACACAAAAGTCGTTCATGAGTTCTCGGTGAGCTAGATCTTCTTTATCTTATCACCTTTCTCAAGCCGAGCATTTACAGGAAGTGAAATCGAGGATCTCCTATTCAGCCGATACATGGACCACACCTCAGATGGTCTACTCGTTTGCCTGTAGTATTGCGCACTGTATTGATGATGACTGGAATTTGATTGAACGGGTTGTTGACTTTCTCCAACTCGAGGACAAGGAGCACGAGGGCTTCTATGGTGGACTTGCATTCCTTTTTTTTTTTTTTTTTTTTTTTTATCAACAATTTATATAGCGGTGCTCGATGGCAGCCCGCTCGCTATCTACAAACACGTACACTACGCGGCCTGGGTACTAAGTGAACTACTAAAAGACGTCTGCCCCCCCAACCACGAGCCTTATGGCTCAAACGCCTAAACTCCCATAAAGCCAGACCCACCTCGCGAAAACGGTGACGTGGGATAAGGGGAAGAGACCATTGAGGCCCCGCTAAACCCCAGAGCTGTCCGACGCTGTTCGGAGGCCACGCAGCGTAAATGAAATAAGAACAGCACCACCCGGGAGGTGGCAGGGTGTCTTAAGGCCGACAAGCCAAAGATGCGCCTGCCCGAAACCAGACGCAGAGAGTTAGCAGCACTGCAATCCGCTACAATAGCGGCCGCAAGCGCAAAGAAATAGCGGTGGGTGCAGGTCTTCGAACCCTAGAGCTCGGTGGTGTCAATTCACCATAAATCCCCCGAAAGGAGGAACAACCCCACCCACAACGATTATCCGACACCTGAAGGGTCTCGGTTGAAGCCAAACGCCGTGGGGTTGTACTTCATAAAAGATGCAATATCCCCAAGAAAGCGGGGGTAATGCATGGAGTAACGATCGCGACAGCAAAAGAGAATATGCTGGCAAGACTGCAAAGCAGCACCGCAAGTGCAGCCATGAGGCTCGTTGATCTTTAAGTGACGATAATACGCTCCAATGGGCGCGTGGCCAGTTATACACCGGCAAACGCGAGCGAACTCAGTGATACTGTGTCCGAAGGTTGAAAGCCAAGGTCCCCCATTGAGGTACGATGGCTGTAGCGGCCGCCCGTCAGGCTGTTGAAGCTCTAGGAATTCAGAGCCTCGGTAAGTTGGATCCTGGAAAGTGGAGCTCCACAAATCCAGGACTGAGTGCGCCGCTCGAGAGCGTAGCACGTCTATAGAGTTGTCCGTCTTTCGACGTCCAACCCTGACTTTGAGCTCGGTGACGTACTTGTGTGCCTCACCATGGATGTCCCACTGCAGAGCAGAAGGGACGTACACGAAGGTTACGCGACGGAGATCATCCGCCTCAAACCACTCTTGAAGAACGCGACAGACTGACAAGCTAAAAGCCTGACCGGAATGCACGCCAGGGTCAACTGCTCTATGGGCCGCGCCCATAGAGTCAGTAAAGACCATAATATGTTGGCAGTTTGCCTGCTTAACAGCAAGGTGCACTGCGCACGAGATGGCATTGAGTTCCGCATCAGGGGCGGTGACTCTGCCAGAGACATAGCGAGTCCTTTCAAGCTCGCGATGTCCCTTGTAGATGATGGCAGCTGAAGCCACCTGATACTGATTGGACTGAGGGACAGAGCCATCAGTTGCAGCCAGTACTGTTAGTGGGTCGGCCCTCGCTCTCGCGATGAGCTCGTCTAGGTATGGACGCCTATCCTGGGTAGGATCGCGCTCGTCAAAGTGGAGACGGTCCGCATAGCGGTCCAGTAACCGATCGCCTGGGCGAGCTTCAGGCGCAAAGGGCTCGAAGCTCTCAGTTAAGGTGTGGACGCGCTCGTCCACCTCCATGACAGTGCTCCTGACTTTCCCTCGCATGGCTGGGGTCATCAAGGCGGCGGAGCGAGCATGCAGTGCGGCTCGCTTAAGTAGGCCCTCGCCCATCATAGAGCGAAGAGGGTGGGTGTCCGAGAGGGTGGCGACGCGATACACTGCACGCGTTGCCAACTTCTTCAGCATAAGGTGGACAGGAATGAGGCCCGCTAGAGCCTCAAGACCGCCTGTGGGGGAGGTGTGGAAAGCACCCATGATGGACTTGCATTCCTCAACGGAGCCCATGAGCGAGGCGGTCTCTATAAGATAAGTACCCTAAAGCTTTATTTCATACAATGAACTTACCTCATTGTATATCTACTTTATGGCCCTCATGACGGCCAATGCATCCGTCAATGATGTCCTTGTTAAGACTGTCGCCCGTTACATACTTGCACGTTACACCATTCCGTACACCCCTGACATGCATGTCCGATGTGTTGCTCACATTATCAATCTGGTAGTGCAGGCCTTTCTTGCAGGCTTAGACGAGGCACCGGATCCGGATGAAGAAGATCTATTCGATGTCATCGAGGACTACCTGATCCACTATGATGTTGAGAAAGATGAAGTGCACAAAGCGATGGAGGATGAGATTGTCGATACAGAGGAGTTGAAGAAGAAGGATATCCAAATTGACGAAGATGAGGTGGCGACGATGGGAGAGGCAAGCCCGCTGAAACGAGTGAGTTTATTCAATCCTTCCCGTATTGCCTCTGAATTAAATCACCTTCAATGATTGGTAGCTACGGTACATTGTCACGAAAATAACCTCTTCACCTCAACGGCGGGAGAAATTCAGGAAGATTGCTTGATCCAAGTATGGAGAGCAGGACCGTTGAGGACGGCTCATGGTCATTAAGGATGTCAGGACACGATGGAATTACACGCATGCAATGATTGAGCGAGCTGATCTGCTTGAAGATGTGAGTCTTTTCTACTCATTGGGGATGGAGACCACTCATGCTGTCAATTTTTGACAGGTTGTCAATACCTGGTTCTTTGAGACGAAGGAACTTCATGGTGTGATGCTCTCGGTGGCTGATTGGAAGTCATTGAAGCAGATTGGTGCCATTCTCGAGGTTCTTATCTCCTCTCAGCATAACCTGACCATCTGACCATCTATTTCAGGAATTCACGAAGGCAACGTTCAAGATCTCACACGGCGGAATGCCAACTATCCCTTTTGCCCTGCCGGTCTTCGTCGCAATGGAATTTCATCTCAAGAAGTTCTCCGATGACGCTCAGGCCTTTTCATACAAAGTCCGTGCAGGAGCAAAGGCAGGGCTTGCTAAGCTTAAGATCTACGCAGATCGTGCATTCTCGAACCAATACTATCTCCTTGGGACAGGTAAGTAAATTATTTCGCTGAGAGAGCGAGCTGATCCTTACATTTCTTCAGTCCTTCACCCCAATCTCCGCACCCGTTGGTTTTCCAAACTCGGACAAGGCAAGCCCGACGAGTCGAGGGTTGAGGCCTTGCTCCATCACGTTGCCGAGACCTACAAAGAAGAACATCCAGCCCAGAACAACCACGAAGACACTTCCACTTTTACTGGCTTGAAAAGCTTAGCGGCAAGATCGCGCGACATCCTTGAGGACATCTGTGATGTTGACATACCCGAGGCGACAAAAATAACCAGCCAGCAAACAGCTCTCGAGGACGAGATCAAGCGCTACATCAAATTTGAAGGTGGGAAGGGAAATCTTTATGACCCTCTTGCTTGGTGGAAGGCACGTACTCCCAAATCCTCAGTGGTATTTTCCTGTCTAACTACATGATCTCCACAATGCAGATTCATGGCGCAGCATTTCCAACGCTTGCTCGGATGGCACGGGACTTCCTTGCCATTCCGGCTACCAGTGTCTCCGTGGAGAGAGGGTCTTCTCGCAGTCTCGTCACATCTGTCGAGATCTCAGGTCATCCTTGAAGGCTGCAACAATCCGCGAGGCACTTTGTCAAAGGCCTGGATTAGATGTGGTCTTCTTGAGCCCGATCAGCCTCTACATCCCCGGAAAAAGCAAAAATTAATGTAATTCTGCCAACCGTATGTAATAACTGTATAACCGTATATATACAGTATGTAAACTGTTTAATACCATAACCATAAGTTTACAGCTGCCTCCGTATACAGTTACAATACGGTTGGAGCCTTACTGAAGAGGGAGAGGACGAGGATGTCGCGATGGTTGACAATGTCGCGGCGCATAGCGGGACGATAGCGGGAGAGCCTAGTCGAAACATAGGCAATCACGTGGGGAACTTCCCCTTCCTTAATGCACACCATTTGCAGCCAGTCAGGATGCTTTGGAGCGCCAATAACCTCATCGCCCTCCATACTAGTGGTAGACGGTGCATGTCTTATGAAATTCCAAGGGGTTTCTTGGAAAAATAAAATATCAAATCTGTTTTTACAAATTTTGAGAAGAGTGTCTACGTGTGCATAGGTATGACAAACGTTCTGACAGTAAATACGAAGCCCACTACTTAGATCCTGATGGTTTCCCAACATTAGTCTAGGTTCGGGGGTTAGTAAGTTGGCGGCGAGCAGCATGCTCACGTACCTGACGATACTCGGCCATGATCCACTCACGGTCGTAGCGATGGGCCCAGAACTTACACGAGGCCGAGTTGGCGGCGTGGTCCTTGTGGCAATTGACACAGCGGCCCTTATGGGGGCAAGGCTGGTCGCGAGGGGTGGGCGGCACAGGGGGTTTCGCTTTCGTGTTGCCCTTGCAACATCCTGCATGTTGACGGTGCTCCTTCTGCTCGTGTGGACCTGAACAGATAGGGCAGGAGAGTTGTTTCCCTTGCAGGCGACGGTGGGGTGGCCCCACTTCCAGCAGCACTGGCATAGCAGGACACCGGTGTGACGTGCAGCGGGCCTGATAGCGCAGGACTGCCCAGCGAGGAAGATCGGTTGGCCTAAGGCCTTCTTGGCACGGGTTCCCTGCTGGGAGTCCCAGATGTTGCAATACACGGTGCACGATGTCGAGTGCGCCGAGTTGCGGTCGATCCGAGGCTTGGTGCTCAGATAGGTGAAGACCTCAGCATGAACCGAGGTACAGAGGGCCTTCTCAAGCACCTCCTGGGTGATCTTCAACCCTTTTGGATCAAAGTAAGGAACATCGAGTATCTTTATAAAAGATGTCGACGATGGGAGCGCAACCTCAAACGGGGTACCCGTCAGGAGGCTTTCGCGGATAAAGTTGCGCAGTATGTCCAAGTCGGACGGGCTGGCAACAGCGGGGGTGACCAATGACAAACCGTCGTAGGCACAGATGATGGATGTGACCTTCAACATAGATCGCCCATTCCTGAGGTATCCGTTGGCTGCACGGACAGCCGACTCGGTGAAGAACTTCGAGAGGTCAGGAGGGGTACCCCTGAACGATACGAGAACCTGCTTCCACGTGGGGCCCTCGGAAGTGAAAGAAGGAACGGACTGATGAGGAGATGTCTTCATTGGGCCTGTTGGGAATGCAGGGGGAGGAGGAGAAGGCCCACGACGCTGCGGTCCCAAGCCAGGAGGCGGGGGAGGCATCGGAGCGGCCTGTTGTGCGATCCCTGCCCACGTCGTTGGACGGGGCTTGGGTTTAGTAGTGCGGTTGATCGGCGGAGGCGGACCAGGGAGAGAGTATGCCACCTTGCTCTTCTTCTGGGGAGGAGGCGGCACTGGACGATCGACACCCTTGCGCTTTTTAGAAGCGGGGATGCAGGGGGGGACCAAGGTCATCCAATGCCTGCATGAGGACATCGGGCGGGGCCCCTACGCCAACGACACCCTCATCGAGCGGCCCACGGGCAGCAGGAGGAGGAGGTCTGAATATGGGAGCCGGGTGGATGGTCGGCTCATCCTTGGAAGACGTCTCAGCCTCAAGGAGGGAGGCAAGCGAGAAGTTGTCGAGTTCGCCTGGTCCGCGAATACGACTGAAGTCAGTGGCCATGACGGCGTTCACGAAGGACGTCATCTGGGCCACAAAGGCATGCCCCCATCGATGGTGAGCGGATTGTGGTGCGCGGCCCGCAGAACCCAGTCTGTGGCCTTTGCAATGGAGGTGGTCAATACCTCGAGATCGCCAGGAAGATCCTCGACTGTGTCTCGGAACTTCAAGGCGTATTGACCTAGAAGAAGGTCGACGGAGGGGTCTCTCGAGACCTCCTCCCCTCCCTGAGTGCCCTCTACCTCCATCTCCTGGGGGTGGGCCGTCCCTGAGTCAGACTCATCTTCAGACGAATGGGCAGAGCCCATGGTGGAGCGGGACCTGCGGCGGGGTGACGTGTGGTGAGATCGAGCTGGCATGACTGTTGAGTATGTGGCCCTAGTCGAGGTAGGTCTGGCGAGATTGGCGAGGCACCACTGCCATAAGATGATGAGCCAGCGACCAATGGTGGTATTGCTGGTGGTGCGGAGCCCGAGTCCCCCCCACGACGGCTCCTAGGAACCGCCCTGGGGGGCCTCGCGCCCCGACCTCTCGGTGGGAGGTCGGACATGTGTTGCTGGTGCAGTACGAACGATCAGGCGATGAGGTCTAATGAGGCGATAAAGCGTTGGACGACGAAAGAGACGATGAGCTGGTTGTTTACGCTTGTTGACAAGTGGGCGTTCGAGAGAAAGAGGCTGCATGTGAATTAACACCTCGAACCTAAGGGTTTGGCGACCCGCGCCAACTTCACTTTTTCGCGCTTGCGGCCGCTATCGTAGCGGGTTGCAGCGCTGCTAACTCTCTGCGTCTGGTCTCGGGCAGGCGCTTCTCTGGCTTGTCAGCCTCAAGACACCTTGCCACCTCCTGGGTGGTGCTGTTTTATCTCATTTGCGCTGCGTGGCCTCCAAACAGTGTCTAACAACTTTGGGGTTTAGCCGGGCCTTGATGGTCTCTTCCCCTTAGCCCACGTCACCATTTTTGCAAGGTGGGTCTGGCTTTGTGCAAGCTCTGGCATTTGAGCACAAGGCTCATGGTTGGGGGGGCGGACATCTTTTAGTAGTTTACTTAGTACCCAGGCCGCGTAGTGTATGTGCTTGTAGATAGCGAGCGGGCTGCCATCGAGCACCGCTATATAAATTGTTGATAAAAAAATATAAAGAAAGCCAAGGTCCCCCATTGAGGTACGATGGCTGTAGCGGCCGCCTGTCAGGCTGTTGAAGCTCTAAAAATTCAGAGCCTCGATAAGTTGGATCCTGGAAAGTGGAATTCCACAAATCCAGGACTGAGTGCGCAGCTCGAGAGCGAAGCGTGTCTATAGAATTATCCGTCTTCTGAAGTCCAACCCTGACCTTAAGCTCAGTGACGTACTTGTGTGCCTCACCATGGATATCCCACCACAGCGCGGACGGAACGTAGACGAAGGTGATGCGGTGGAAATCATCCGCCTCAAACCACTCTTGGAGGACGCGACAAACTGACAGACTGAAGGCCTGACCAGAATGTACGGAAGGGTCCACCACTCTATGGGCTCAGCCCATAGAGTCAGTGAAGACCATAATATGCTGGCAGTTTGCCTGCTTGACAGCAAGGCGCACTGCACTCGAAATGGCATTGAGTTCCACATCTGGGGTGGTAACTCTGCCAGAGACATAGCAAGTCCTTTTGAGCTCGCAATGTCCCTTGTAGATGATGGCAGCCAAAGCCGCCTGATACTGGTTGGACTGAGGGACAGAGCCATCAGTTGCAGCCAGCACTGTTAAAGGGTCGGCTCTCGCTTTCGCGATGAGCTCGTCAAGATATGGGCACCTATCCTGGGTAGGATCGCGCTCGTCAAAGTGGAGATGGTCCACATAGCGGTCCAGTAACCGATCGCCTGGGCGAGCTTCGGGCGCAAAGGGCTCAAAGCTCTCAGTTAAGGTGTGGACGCGCTCGTCCACCTCCATGACAGTGCTCTTGACTTTCCCTCACATGGCTGGGGTCATCAAGGCGGCTGAGCGAGCATGTGGTGCGGCTCGCTTAAGGAGTCCCTCGCCCATCATGGAGCGAAGAGGGTGGCGACACGGTACACTGCATGCGTTGCCAGCTTCTTCAGCATACGATGGATGGGGATGAGGCCAGCGAGGGCCTTGAGACCACCTGTGGGGGAGGTGCGGAAAGCACCCGTGATCCATAGAGCAGCTTTTTGCTGCATCCATTTTAGCTGGTTCATCACGCCCTTATTACAGGCACCGTCGAAATACCAGAGACGATAGCCGTATGTGGCAATGGGAACCACACACGACCGATATAAGAGTTTGCGCTGTTTAGGCGAGAGACCTCTAGTGGAGTTACCGAGCATGCGCATGGCCTGCACGGTGGTGAACGCCTTAGTGGCATAGTAGCAGACATGCTCATGAAACGTGAGCCTGCGGTCAAAGTAGAAGCCCAAGTACCTGTTGTCGTTCTAACCCCCGTCATTGTCGTCCTGCCCCTGCTGTTGTTTCCCTCTGCATGGTCGAGAGGGCGATGGTGGGTGAGCAGGTGGTGGCAGGCAGAGAGGTGCCCGAGCCCACATCCCTGTTGCGAGGGGAGGGGCTCAAGGGCTTCGTTGTGTCGTCATGGATGTCAATGGGGTTCTCTGAGGGGAGAGGTTGGTTAGTAGGGATGTGTGTACATAAGAAAGATATATACTTACCTTTTCCTTCGTGTTTCAGGGCGGCTTCGCAGTGAGGGGGTGAGGGAGGTGGTGGAGAAAGACACAGATCAATGATGTTCAACATCATTGATTGCGGTTCAGCGGGATCCGGCTGCCCATCCCATTGGCTGGGATTATTGGCCCGATCCCGTTTCCATTCCGTTGTGGACCAAGACCAACGGAATGTCTCCGCTGGATGCTGAACATGTAGTGTCTCCACTTAAACCTTTGGAATTTGTTATTAATATATATGTTCATCTATACATGTGATTTCAACCAAATAAAATAAAAATTAAATATCTTATGAACGAATTCATCTCATGCTCAGGCCAATTAGGGGAGTCTCTCCTCTGTATGTAGATTCCAAGAGGCAGAAGAAGCCAAATAAATATATAAAAATGATATACAGACTGGCTAATTATGATAGTATTGAGGGATAGAGCTCCCCTGATGAATTTATTAATTTTAGGATATACACTAAGAATCTATGAACAATGATGTGGATTCTGATACGAAACTAACTCAAGGATCTGTCAACTTTCAGACACTGGCGCATATCACAGCATCTACATAGGAAATGTCTGCCAAATTTTTGATATGTTGTACTTACTTACAGATGAACAATATACAGTTATTGTGACGCTTCAACCACTCAAACGAGTGGTATTTGGCACGTTCGAACGTTGGGAGAACGTAAATCACCACACGGAATGGGTAATTCAGGCTCTTAGCTCGCTCTTATTCTCAGATAATATTCGGACCTCAATAAATACATAGAATACAGTAGTCTAATTAACTACCGATGCTCAAAACAGAAATTTTCATCATCTTTTGAGTGCACAGGCTATTCTGAGGTTGATGAGCAGAATGCGGGCTGGCCAGACCACCCGCACCAGCCAATCAAATCATTTGCAGTGTTCGCTGGATAAGCGATCAATGACAACAAACATTGTTGATCTCAGCTTCAACCACCACCTGGTGCTCCCCCTCTCAGTCCAACACCTCAAATAACCCCCCAGGACTGGAAAAAAGGTAAGTAAATGTATTTTCTTTATAAACGTGTACTCTAATTGATATTTAAATCAATGCTAGGTCAATGAACGTCGACTTTAAGTCGATGTTCATTTTCGTTGCCTTTCATGCCCCTCCCCTTCAATAGGGATGTGAGCAGAGGCATGAAACTCCACCCAGGTTGCCTCTCACACCCCTCCATCCTCAAGCTCCCCACCACCTTCCACCTCTCACTACCTGCGCCCTCGCTCTGCACACCTCCCCTTGAAGAGGGACGAATATTGAAATGAATGATGCATGACAACAGCAACAAACAACCGCAGCGACAAATGACAACAGCAGGCGACGAAAGACAACAGATGACGAACAGTAGGCAACAAACAGTGGCGGCACAACGAGGACAATGGCACGATGAGGATGGGGGCACGACCGGGGGCACCCTTCACCCTCACCCTTGCCCCTCGTTCGCTCCCCTGTCCTCTGCCTTGCCCTGTTCCTCTGCCTTGCCCTGTCACCCGCTGCCTTGCCCTTGCCCTCTACCTTGCCTTCTTGCCTCTCATCCGCCCCTCACCACCCTCTCCCTCGCCTTTTTTTTTTTGTTTTTTTTTTTTTTTTTTTTTTTTTTATCACCAATTTATATAGCGGTGCTCGATGGCAGCCCGCTCACTATCTACAGACACGTACGCTGCGCAACCTGGGTACTAAGTAAACTACTAAAAGATGACCGCCCCCCCAACCAAGACCCTTCTGGTGTGCGTGTTGAAACTTCCCGGAGGGCAACCCACCTCACAAAAACGGTGCATCAGAATAAGGGGAGGAAATCATTGAGGTTCCGCTAGGCCCCATAGTCGTCGATTGCTGTTTGGGGGTCGCGCAGCGCAAATGAGATAAGAAAGCACCACACAGGGGGTGGCAAAGTGTCTTGAGGCCGACAAGCCAAAGAAGCGCCTGCCCAAAACCAGACGCAGAGAGTTAGCGGCGCCACAACCCGATATAATAGTGGCCGCAAGCACAAATAAGTGAAGCTGATGCAGGTCTTCGAACCCTAGAGCTCGGTGGTGTCAATTCACCATAAATCCCCTGAAAGGAGGAACAACCCCGCCCTCAACGATTATCTGACCCCCAAAGGGTCTTGGTTGAAGCCAAACGCTGTAGGGTTGTACTTCATAAATGATGCAATATCTTTGAGAAAACGGGGATAGTGTACAGAGTATCTATCATGACAGCAAAAGAGGATGTGCTGATGGGACTGCAAAGCAGCCCCACAAGTGCAGCTGTGAGGCTCATTGATCTTGAAGTGACAGTAGTACACTCCAATGGGCGCGTGGCCAGTTATGCACTGGCAAACGCGAGCGAACTCAGTAATACTGTGTCCGAAGGTTGAAAGCCAAGGTCCCCCATTGAGGTACGATGGCTGGATCGGCTGCCTGTCAGGCTGTTGAAGCTCTAACAATTCAGAGCCTCGGTAAGTTGGATCCTGGAAAGTGGAACTCCACAAATCCAGGACTGAGTGCACGGCTCGAGAGTGCAGCACGTCTATAGAATTGTCCGTCTTGCGATGTCCAACCCTGACTTTGAGTTCAGTGACATACTTGTGTGCCTCACCATGAATGTCCCACCGCAGAGCAGATGGAACGTAAACAAAGGTGATGTGGCAGAAATCATCCGCCTCAAACCATGCTTGGAGAGCGTGACAGACTCACAGACTAAAAGCCTGACCAGAATGCACAGAGGGGTCCACTGCTTTATGGGCCGAGCCCATAGAGTCAGTAAATACCATGATATGTTGGCAGTTCACCTGCTTGACAGCAAGGCGCACTGCACAGCCTCTCCCTCGCCCTCTGCTCCCTCTACCTCGCCTCTCGCCCTCTGCACCACCTTCTCGCCCCTTGTTCGCTCCTCACATCCTTGCCCTCTGCCTTGCCCTCTTGCCCCTTTGTCCCTCGTTCACCCGTGAACGACAGCGGACGACGACAGCAGGCGAGGGTGGTGGGCGAGGGCAGCAGATGACGGCAGGTATGAACAGGGGCAGCAGGACTAGCGGAAGGCGATGGCAGGCACATGACGTCAACAGATGTCAACCTGCTCTCTCGCCTTTGCCTTCACCTTTTCCCTTGCCCGCCGTTCTGACCCTCACCCCAACCCTCGCCCCTCGTCCAGGGGCCCAACGAGTGACGAAGGGGCCAAACGAGCAGAGGAGGGAGCAGAGGGGTCCCCAACGAGCACAGAAGGGGGTGGATGGGTCCCCCACAAGCAGCAGAGGGGACGGAGAGGGGGTGGAACTGGACCCACGAGTACACGAGGGGGTGAAGGGAGCCCCAACGAGCACAGGAGGGAGCGGAGGGGACCCACAAACAGCAGAGGGGGTAGAGAGGGCAGAGGGGCCGGGGGGGGACCCGGACCTGTCTTCCTGAGCAGAAACGGCGCATTATAGCGTGTCATTTCTGCTTGTTTTACCTATATTTTATAGCAGGTGGCCCTACTAGCCACCCGCATCCTGTATTTTTTTTCCTGTACAATTTAATATGATTTTTTTGTGCATTTTTTGCTGCAAAGGGCAGGGGAGTGGAAACGATGCATACAATGTGTTGTTTCTACCTGTTATCTCCTTATTTTTTTTTTTTTTTTTTGATCAACAATTTATATAGCGGTGCTCGATGGCAGCCCACTTGCTATCTACAAACACGTACACTACGCGGCCTGGGTACTAAGTAAACTACTGAAAGACGTCCGCCCCCCCAACCGAGCCTTATGGCCAGACCCACCTCGCGAAAACGGTGACGTGGGATAAGGGGAGGAGACCATTGAGGCCCCGCTAAACCCCAGAGCCGTCGGACACTGTTCGGAGGCCACGCAGCGCAAATGAAATAAAACAGCACCACCTGGGAGGTGGCAGGGTGTCTTAAGGCCGACAAGCCAGAGAAGCGCCTGCCCGAAACCAGACGCAGAAAGTTAGCAGCGCCGCGACCCGCTATAATAGCGGCCGCAAGCGCAAAGAAATAGTGGCAGGCGCAGGTCTTCGAACCCTAAGGCTCGGTGGTGTCAATTCACCATAAATCCCCCAAAGGGAGGAACAACCCCACCCACAATGATTATCTGACCCCCGAGGGGTCCCGGGTGAAGCCAAACGCCGTAGGGTTGTACTTCATAAAAGCTGCAATATCCCCAAGAAAGCGGGGGTAATGCACGGAGTAACGATCGCGACAGCAAAAGAGAATATGCTGGCAGGACTGCACAGCAGCCCCGCAAGTGCAGCCATGAGGCTCATTGATCTTGAAGCGACAATAATACGCTCCAATGGGCGCGTGGCCAGTTATACACCGGCAAACGCGGGCGAACTCAGTGATACTGTGTCCGAAGGTTGAAAGCCAAGGTCCCCCATTGAGGTACGATGGCTGTAGCAGCCGCCTGTCAGGCTGTTGAAGTTCTAAGAATTCAGAACCTCGGTAAGTTGGATCCTGGAAAGTGGAATTCCATGAATCCAGGACTGAGTGCGCAGCTCGAGAGCGAAGCGCGTCTATAGAGTTGTCCATCTTACGACGTCCAACCCTGACTTTGAGTTCAGTGACGTACTTGTGTGCTTCACCATGGATATCCCACCGCAGAGCGGATGGGACGTAGACGAAGGTGATGCGGCGGAGATCATCCGCCTCAAACCACTCTTGAAGAGTGCGACAAACTGACAGGCTGAAAGCCTGACCAGAATGCACGCTGTTATCTCCTTATCTCGTAGTGGGTGGCTGGTAGAGCCACCTGCATCATGTATATATTTTATTTTGATTTAATATGATTTTTTTTGTAATTTTTTCGTGTGCTTTGAGGTGCCCCGGAGCTCGCCGGACGTTGTGACAGACGCTGGCGAGAGCATTATAGCATATGTGTCATGGTAATTACATAATGATCTAAAAATACTTCCAGGGCCCCAAAAAAAGGCCACGTCATCCAAACTCACCTGGCCCAATCCACCCCTTCCCACCCCCCAACGATGAGGGGGAAACGGTGCACAATGATGAGGAAATATATTTCCTCATCGTTGGTGGCTTTTCCCCATTGAAAATGGCGGTGGGAACACTGGAAACGGCAAGGAACAATGCTTGGGCATTGTTTCCTGTGTTGTTTGCTTGTGTTGACAGGTCCTACCCACAGCCACGAGCTCCAGCACACCTGGCAAGGCCCTCTCCGTAGGTGGACTGTAAAACCACAGTCCTGACATATAAGCATACCTTGTAAAAATACAGTGTCTGATATAGATTTCTAGCAGACATGGCTGCCTATGGATGATATTTTTTTTTTTTTTTTTTTTTTTTTTTTGATCAACAATTTATATAGCGGTGCTCGATGGCAGCCCGCTCACTATCTACAGAACACGTATGCTATGCAACCCAGTTACTAGGCAAACTACTTAAAGACATCCACCCCCCCAACCAAGACCCTTCTGGTGTATACATCGAAACTTCCCGGAGGGCAATCCACCTCACAAAAACAGTGCATTGGGATAAGGGGAGGAAACCATCGAGGTTCTGCTATGCCCCAAAGTCATCAATCACTGTTCGGAGGCCACGCAGCACAAATGAGATAAAACAGCACCACCCAGGAGGTGGCAGGGTGTCTTGAGGCTGACAAGCCAGAGAAGCGCCTGCCCAAGACCAGACACAGAAAGTTAGCAGCGTTGCAACCCGCTATAATAGCAGGCCGCAATTGCAAATGAGTGATGCAGGTGCAGGTCTTTGAACCCTAGAGCTTGGTGGTGTCAATTCACCATAAATCCCCCAAAAGGAGGAACAACCCCGCCTGTGACGATTATCGAGGTCTTTATGGTCCCCCACGTATCTCTATAGGACTCCACTGGACTCCAGTGGACTCCGGTAGGAAATATATTAGCAGGAACACCAGCGAAAAGTGCCTACTGGAGTCCACTGGAGTCACCACCCAAAGTCTACTGGAGTTCACTGGAGTGTACCAGAGTGGAGTGTCCATCATCCACTGGACTCCTATAGAACTCCGGTGGACTCCAGTGAACCCGCACAGAAAACTCGACTGGAGTCCTATAGGAGTTCACTGGAGTCCACTCATATTCCACTGGAGTCCTACAAAATTTGAACCTATTTAGGCCATCCACTGGACTCCAGTGGAGTCCAATGTAATTAAATATTACAGTTATATATAGTATAGCATGTTTACTATGTGAATATAGGACTCCACTGGACTCCACTGGACTCCGGTGGAGTGCCAGTGGATGCCCCAAAAAGGCTTGATTTTTTCCATATTTTTCCATATTTTTATCTTTTTTTTTTACCACAGAAAAAAACAGTTTAAAAAAATGCACCAGCAAGAATTGAACCAGTCACAAGCATTACATGACTATAGTACCATGCACAGTCAACCATTGAGCCATTAAGCCTATGATAGTGTATAGATATTTAGTAAATATATATCTGTGCAGCTATCCAGATATAACCAGTACGTCCGGTTTGTTTTATTTTCAAGCGGAGTTTGAAATTTATTTACTGATCGCGTTCCCATGTTTACCTCTTGATCTCGTACCACCACCATCACCCAATACACCAGGTAAGCCCCCCAATCTGTTTCGCGCCCCACGAACGCTGACCAGGCCCCGCCCCCTCCCCTTCACTCCTGCCCATGCCAATGCCAACAACAACAACAACAACAATGACAACAACACCAAACCTGAACCTGAACACGAACACGAACATGAACACGAACATGAACATGAACCGAACACGAATCCGAACATGACGACGACAACGATGACAACAACAACAACAACAACAACAACAACGATGACGATGACGATGACGACGGCGAATCGCCACATCCGCTGTCAACCGTGCACGGACCACCTCACCAACGTGAACGCTGGCACCCCACCCTGCTCTCACCACTCGTCGTGCCCCACCTGTGCACAGACCACCTCACCAATGCAAATGCCGGTGCCCCCACCCTGCTCTTGCCACTTGTTGTGCCCTAACCGTGCATGGACCACCTCGCCAACGTGAACGCCGGTGCCCCCACCCTGCTCTTGCTGCTCGTCGTACCCCAACCGTGCACAGACCACCTCGCCAACACGAACGCCGGCGCCCCCACCCTGCTCTCGCCGCTCGTCGTGCCCCAACCGTGCACGGACCACCTCACCAATGCTGGCGCCTCCATCCACCACCGAATGTGCACGGACCACCTCACCAATGCTGGCGCCTCCATCCACCACCGAATGTGCACGGACTACCCACCCATGTCTGCCAACAACGTCCACGATGTCCATGCCCCACACCGCGCCCAACACACACGTCCACCACCGAACGTGTACGGACCACCGACCCATAACTGACAC